GATGCAGCGATCGACATCCTGTCCTCTGCCTGTGCCCCGCACAAGATGCTGGACCCCGCTCTGTCCGAGGACCCAGCACACTCGTCCGAAAGCACCAGGTGGTGCGACATGCTTGAGGAATGAGAGGCCCGCGGAGACGTACTCGACGGGGAAGCTCTCACCGTCACCCTCAGGTCTCCCTGACCATGAACCGAAGTAGCCCTCCGAGAACCAGAGGAGCTATAGCGGGGCATGGCAAGGGGGATACCCCCCCGTTTAATGAGGAGGTATCTAGACCGCAACGTCGCTATGGTCATTTTCCCGCACTGAGAACATGACTCATCCATGAGCGCTGCTTCAGCGTGCTGTAAGCCCAAGCACGAGAGGCAGTGATCATGACCTTCAGATGGAGGCAGGAAACGCACGAGCGGGAAGCCATCTTTAAAAATACGCCCGTCGCTCCTGAAGCTCTTTTAGAAATTGCTCTTTTAGATGGAAAAACACTCTTTTAGAGAAAGCGCTGAAGCGCCCAGGGGAGGTCGCGGCGAGACCGCAGAATGGAAGCTGCAGCCCGCCGAGGTTTCAGCAGCCTGGATGGCAACCCCCGCTGATACGCCGTCACACCAACGGCAGCTGTTTCTCTCGAACACTCGCGGAGATTCGTCCTGTAGAAGGCTCGGCTCCGAAGCGAAAAGCTGATGTGCGTTTGCACGCGCTCTCCTTTTATACCCGCGCTGCAGGGCGGGGTGCGCGTGGCGAAACACGCACGCCAACTGTCATTGGCATGTTTAGTTAACACTTAAAGGTGATTGGGCTCTCGGGCGAGATCCCAATTCGTCAGTCACTGACGTAACGTAGAACGTGACTGACTGAATGGGAACAACCTGATGAAATTTTTAGTCCATCCACACACTCAAACAAATTTCTTTCTGTGTCTGGAACCAGTCAATCCTTACGTTCCCTCACGGCCGAATCCATAAAGCTGAGATAGCTCCACACAGACAGATTCTTGGAGTCTTCTCATGTCTATCTATAGATTATGTCTCAGTTACACTTGCTTGCTTTTCCTGCAAACAACATACCAGTTGTTGTTAGATAAAGCCCTGGCATTATATTCAAACGTCAGATTTCTATGGGTGCTCTATTCAAGTAACCCTTCTTTTCTCCCAGGGGAACAAATATTTGTTCTCCCCTGAAATGCTTATTTTGTTTGAGTGACATATGTTGCTTTTCCGCTATGGTTTGCACCTCATTCCAAAAGTAAACTAATGCAATTAAAGAATATTTCTGCAAAGAGATTTAACAGTTTGGACAACTGAAATATGATTTGCAAGCTCGGTTACAGAATCAAGACTCTGAGAAGGGTACGAATATTTCACAGCTCTGAGCGGCTCATCAGCTGAATTAACTGGCTGACATTTCATGGGCCGCCTGAGCGCATCAAAATGACAATGCCATAGAACGGACCAAATTGCAGAGTATCAATTTGTGTCAGACACTATGGCTGCCCCTGGTGTTGTGGACAATTTGCAAGATGAAACTTGATTTAGGTGATGAAAAATGCACCAGACAGGATAAATAGAAATGAAAATTTTACAAATAACAGCAATCATTGTCTAATCAATGTCTGACAGTTTTCAGTCATGTTGAAGTCTTCAGAATCATATTTGGGACTGTGAGATGCTTGCGAGGATTCTGTGGGTAGCATACAATCTCTCTCTTTCTCTTTCTCCATTCCCAGAATCCTCTATTTAGAGATTCTTACCGTATGTTCTGATGTGTTCTACTTGATGTACAGCATAATGTAACAACATGGCTGCTGAAAATTCAGCTTTACCATCATAGGAATAAATTACAAATTTTAAAATTTATTCAAATAGAAGACTGTTATTTTAAATTATTAGAATATTTTACAGTATTGCTGTTTTTACTGTATTTTAGTCAAATAAATGCCTCTTTGGTGAGCATAAAAGTCTTCTTTCAAAAATATTTAAAAACAAACATACTGACCCCAAACGTTTGAATGGTAGTGTATCTATTTGGGGAAAGAAAAAAAAGATTTCTGTATTATATTGTTTCTGTGTTTGAAAATCTCAATTATAATATAATATAGTTTAAGAAAACGGTCTATACAGTACATGATGTACCATCATGCTAGTATTTCAGACATGGGATTCTATAATATAGTCTCCAGTTTCTAGACAACAGTGCAATAAGTGCTTTAAATTTCTCTGATTCTTTCCTTCATGATGTTAGAGTTTTAACAGAGCCAGTGTACGTCAATCTATCTGACAGCACCTTGATGGTTTATAGAGGAGAAATACTGTTTTTGAAAGAACAATAAGAGACTGAAGCTAGCAGTTTTAGTCTTGTGGAGAAAACTGATGATGTTTGTATGAGATCTGAGGAACCAACGTATGGCTTTGTCTGAGAAATGGATCCCCCTGAGGGAGAATGATATTTATGATCTATCAGATAGGAAACACAGCAGAGGAGAAAAGCCTGGAAATCTCAGTGGCTTTTCTGCAGAAACAGAATACAATCCTTCCATTCCGCTTTGCCCTTCCTGCACCTGAGAGGATGTTTGATTTACACCCCGCAATGTCCAGGATTAACTGTAATATCAGGGCTGGAGCGTTTGTGTCGATTGCTTGCGCTCAACAACAGTGTGATGTTCTAAAATGTACACCCAAAAAAGATCTCTTTATTCAGGAGAAATTAGCTAAAGCAGGCAATTTCACACCCCGGCGAATTTCTGCGGTGTTTGCAGGTACAGTACGCTCTACACCCGTTTAATCTGTATTAAATGTAATGTATGGTCAGACCGTGCAACATTAGTATGGCAGAGAAATAGCAACCATATTAATTTGCAAAAAATAGCCCAGATGGCCTTTTACCAACAGGGATCAACATTGTGAGCATTTCACTTGCATTTGTGACTAAAAATAGATTTGTGCAAACTGTAAAATATATTTGGGAACATGTGAATGCAAATAAAAAAAAAGTCTCTGCTGAGTTTTATTAAATGCAAGGTCATAAAAAGGCTTGAATGTCTTAAATGATGTAACAAATGTCTTAATTATTATTTTAAAAGGTCTTAAATTTGGGGATGGAAAAAAAGGAATCGCTAAACAGCCTAATGTGATTATTTAGGCTATAATTTAATTATATAAATATGAGCCCTGCACATTTAAAAGTAAAATCGTGGCGCTTTTGCATGCTCTACAGGCTCACCATTTCAGAATACAGCGCATTTATACCAATACATTGCTTATGATCTACTGTTGATGAATTATGGTAGTATTTATTTTGTTTGCATATTAACGTATGATGTAGATGGTTGTAAGAGTCCCAGAATCCTCCTTCGTTTTGTCTCCCTCATGTTTTTGAAAAGCTGTCAATAGTATAGGCATTTCAAAATAAGAGTCCCGATGTACTTCGGGCTTGTTTAGTCCCACATTATGCATAAATGTTATATAATTAACTAGAAATATTTAACTCATTCTAATAAATCATTTGCTTTTAAATATCTCCTTGTATCCCTTTATTAGAAAAAATCAGTATTTCAATTTAAGCGCACATGTGTATTGGATAAAAGTAAAATAAAACTAAGCACTTGCTCAGAGCATATGGCTGTTGTCTTGGTTTCAACTGACAGGCTCTAGGACCCAGAGCACAATGTCAGATTTGGGAAGCAGGCAGGGGGCAGGACTTGCTTCCTCAGAGCTTTTGTGGCAGAAAGAACCATTGCAGCTTTGTCAACCCATTACCATAGTTATCAAGAAAGCCAGACCCACAACCAGCCCGAGTCAATTACCATTGAGAGACAGTCATTTGCAGGCAGTGGCCTGGCATATTGGTATCATCACAGGTCGTATTTGAATAAAGTCACCTTTCCTGGTCTCTCTATTTAGCATCCAGCATAAAAAATGAATTTGCATATTTATATTCATTATCTTCGAAAGCCAGATAAAGATATCTCATATATCATCATCATTGAGTGATTCTTTGCTTACATCCGCACAGGTTGTTTACAAAAACAATGACATCAGGCTGGAGCTCTCCCGGCTCGCCCGCATCGTGGATCCCAAAATGAAGATCCAGGGAGATGTGGTGTTCAAGTGCGAGAACGTGGCCACCCTGGACCCCATTTCGTTCGAGACACCCGAGGCCTACATCAGCCTACCCAAGTGGAACACCAAACGCATGGGCTCCATATCCTTCGACTTCCGTACCACCGAACCAAACGGCCTTATTCTCTTCACCCACGGGAAGCCACAGGAAAGAAAGGATGCCCGTAGCCAAAAGAACACAAAAGTGGACTTTTTTGCAGTAGAGCTTCTGGATGGAAGTTTGTACCTGCTGCTGGACATGGGCTCTGGGACTATCAAAGTGAAAGCCACACAGAACAAGGTGAACGACGGGGCCTGGTATCATGTGGACATCCAACGAGATGGAAGATCAGGTCAGTGTGTGGATTCGCAAACGAATAGACTCACACACACTTAAGTGCATTCTTTATTCCATGCTTAACACATTTAATAAATGCCTTTGATTTTTTTTTTCAAAATCCAGTCTGTTTTTAAACCTCCAACAGATGAGAAATTCGAAAAAAAAAAAATAATAATAATATTATTATTATAAATTTTTAAATGGAAATTATATATTTATTTAGCTTTTGTTGCTTATGTTAACAGGTTACAGTACTACAGTGTAGTTTAGGAGAAATGTACTGTAGGTATAATTAGTGTTTTTGTGGGAAATAATGCATTATTTATCGGCTTTAAGATATCGGCCAAATTTTCTTATCAGGCCGATACCGATAACAGAAAAAATGAGCCGATATGGGCCGATACCGATATGGTGGCCGATATATCGTGCATCCCTAGTGCTAAGCCTATTTTTTTGCTCTGTGTACATTGCTGAATATTATATGGCTGCTAATAAAGGAAATATTCAATATAGTAACCTAAAATCACTCCATAATATTTATGGTAGGAAAACCATTTGTTAGAAGCACAAAGCAAACCTGCTATTGTGGTTGTGCTGTTGCTTCGTTTGCCTTATGAAATAGACCTAAAGGTACTGTAGGAGACAGGGTTGAAAATGGCTTTGTACATCTAATTTGTGACAGAAATTACTAACATTTATAAATGCAATTCAAGGAAAAGTCTTTAAAATCGATTCCCAAGTGGGAAATGTGCTCTTAAGAAATAAAGACATTGCCCATAAATTGTATCTCATTTTAAAACCAATTTTTAACTGAGCACATGAATAACTCCCACTTTGTTTCATTATTAAATCGGTTGGATACTGTAATTGCTTGTGTGTTTTCCATAGGCGTTAAGCTCTGCAGCCCAAAGATAACAGCTTTAAACAAAAAGCACAGTGGTTAGTCACCAATAATGGACAGATTTAGTCCAAAGCAGGCTGACATTTTCATTTCATTTCACATCTACTTTGACAGAACTTTCTATTAGGTTTTATCCCCTCTATCTTTCTCTGTATCCTCCTTCACCTCTTTCATTCTTTCATTGCCCTTGAATCTCTGGCACTCTGTTTCTGAATCGATCGACGACTACTCCATATCACTTCATAGCACAGGGCCCTTGGGAGGTCTTGTAGGATATCAATAATGCGAAGTTTTAGACAGAGCCATGTGGGTGACTGGACTGGTGTCAGTTCTGAAGAGATTATTCCCATTGATCCCTGGTTCCCCACATGGGATGCATTGTTTACATCTTTGTGTCTGTATGAGGGACGCCGCTTTACAAGTCACACACTCCCCATGAGGTCATAAATAGAAAATAATCTTCTCGTAGTCCCCCACTCCCTCCATCACTTACTCTATGGATAGTCTTTCCATCCCTATCTTTGTCTCTTGTGGACAGGATAGACAGAGGTCAGACTGTCGTAGTCTGAACGCTGCTGGATTACGCAATGCAGTAATTTACAGTACTTTTAGTTTGTCTAGAGTTTATAGTCTCTCCACATACATTTTTTTTTATTTTATTTAATGTATTAAATTTTTTATTGTATTTGTATTTATATTTTACAAATTATGAATACATTATTCATAATATAAATTATATATATATATATATATATATATATATGTGTGTGTTTCCTAACCAGTTTTAGCATTATGTATATACTATTATAGTATTTAATAATTATCTGAACTAGCTTTTATTTTTTTTATACATCCAGTAGCTTATAATCAAATTGTTCTTAAAATTCTGATCTATTTATTTTTAACTTAGTTTACCTTTTATTATCAGACATTTTTAACCCAAAATAACAAATGAGAAAAATCACAAGCAATTTATCATACATTTGGTAACAGAAGCTAGTTTAAAAAAATAGATAGATAGATAGATATTTTCATAATTTTAAAGCAGATTAATAAAATAATGTAATACCAATTTGTAATTTTTATTATTTTTTGTTAATATTACTCTTTAGTTATTTTTTTTATTTTAAAGGGGTCATATGATGCTGCTAAAAAGAACATTATTTTGTGTATTTGGTGTAATGAAATGTGTTTATGTGGTTTAAAGTTAAAAAACACATTATTTTCCACATACTGTACATTAATGTTTCTCCTCTATGCCCCGCCTTTTTGAAACGCGCTGAAATGCGACATTTTAGGGGGTTAAACGCACAAACCTAAACGGCAAGAAACTAACTGTAACGTTACTAGACCACTAACAATAACTGTGTGAATGTATTTTATGGCTCATATAATCTCGGTTTCTCTTGATTCTTCCCAGGCACCATATCTGTTAACAGCCGTCGCACTCCGTTCACCGCCAGTGGCGAAAATGAGATCCTGGACCTGGAGGGGGACATGTACCTGGGCGGCCTCCCCGATAACCGGGCCGGCCTTATCCTTCCCACTGAACTGTGGACTGCCATGCTAAACTACGGCTATGTGGGATGCATTCGGGACCTATTCATTGACGGTCGCAGTAAGGACATCAGGCAGATCGCTGAGGACCAGAACGGTGCAGGCATCAAACCTTCCTGCAACAAGATGCCAGGCAAACAGTGCGACAGCTATCCGTGCAAGAACAAAGGCGTGTGCAAAGAAGGATGGAATCGCTTTATCTGTGACTGCACAGGCACCGGTTACTGGTCCCGCACATGTGAGAGGGGTGAGTTAGCTGCCTTTACCCTTCCTTTATTTGTTCATATTACCATAACAGGCCCGGATTCCTAAAATTAATTTCTTGCTTTGTTTTAGAATAAAACAGAGAGGCGGGTATAATTTCAATCGCAACATTTGAATAAAAAAAAGGAATGTTTACAATCACCGTCACGCCAGTTTGTTTAGCTTCTCACCTGTAAAATCCCATCTGCTGCTGTTTGTAAACAGCGGATTAGCTCTCACATAATCAGTTAAAATATAAGCTCATTAATATCTCAGCACGTTGCTGTATGGAAGCTGATGTTCTCCGGGGTTTGGGGAGTGTTGCGTCTGAGTCAAACCCGTGATGATGTCATACCTTGGAAAAAGGCCATCCGCTCATAAAATACAGATCTTCAGATATCATAGGCAGACAGATTTATATTCGCATGAAAAATGAAGCGGAATGGCTTTGGTAGATGACAGGAGATTGGTTGTGGATCTTTTGCTCGAGTCTGTTGTGGCTGCATGTTTGAAGGGCTCCATATGGGCCGGAACGCAGGGGTTCCAGGTAACCAGGTAATAGAAGGACCTCCAGCGTGTCTGTGAACACTGAGCAAAGCAGATTGCTTATTATGTTGGCATGAGAGCTGGTTTCTCTGTTGGGCTTCATTCATGTGTATAATATTACAAGAAACCATTGTTATCTTTTTTTTTTGTTTTACACTTTCTTCTTCTTTTTTTACTCCATATAACATATTTAGATAATCACATTTGTAATAGAAGTAGATATGAAGTATATATGAGAATAAAGTATATATAAAGAACCTTTTGTGCAATGGTTCCATGGGTGTTAAAGGTTCTTCATGGAACCAACAATAGCAATAAAGAATTTTTATTTTTAAGGTGGAGACTGCTGTTTACAGTTACGCAACTACAGCTCCTTAACTGTTTGTCAAGATAACATTTATAACATATCAAATCACCAATAACATTTGACAACAATATTACAAATGTAGCTTCTTAAGCCCTTCTTATTTATTTGTTTTTTAAAAACTAGCTTCTGTATACTCCGTACTGTAATAAAGCTATAATTGTTGGCACCTTTATGATAAACTGCTTGTGATTTTCGTCATTTAGGGCTTTGCAGAAAAAATGTCTGATATACAAATGTAAAGTTCAATGCAAATAGATGAGGAATTAAATTTTAGACTTTGGGCTCATGTTCCCTATCGAGAACAAAAATGAGTCTCAAGAGGATACAAAAGTGCAGACGTAGCAAACATTGACATCAGTTGTTTTTGTATTGTCAGAGGACATGTTATGATATCTTTTTCTGTCCTTGTGCAGTGTTTTTAGACAAATGTAAAAGTCAAATACAGCAGTTTAACAATCCATTGCTAGAGATACAGATTGTAAATCAACCTCCTGCACATTCATTTTCCGTGAATGTCAGTCATAATCATCTGCAAGGGCATCAGACTGAGTGTCACCGCGCGTTATAGTGAGTTTGTGAGAAGAGCGAGTATGAGAAGTATTCTGATACTGACTAGAAGTGCATCTAAACATTATCATTCAACTACACTTATGCCACAAGGCAAAATAGTCAGCTTTCTAAGTGTCACACATGCACACACACACACACACACACATACACACACACACACACATGCACATCCGCGTGCACCTGGACTGCTCATTTGCATGGCTCATGTCTGAACTAATAACCAAACACTGAAATGACTAGACAACCCTAACACTTAAAAGAGCACACTGTAATTATTAGTGATGCTTGCTAAGCTGCTTAGCTAAACTGTATAGAAGACACAGAAGAAATTCCTGGTAAAATCTGTGCACCCTGATTCAACCAGCTCTTGACTTGGCCAGTAAACAGGCCTTGAGTCGTTGGGTACACCAGCTGAGACGTTATACTGATAGTCAGATGTCTAATAGTTCTACTAAACTACATAGACATGTTCCGGATTTTTTTTTTGTGTTAACTCTAAACCCACACTCTGCCAAGAGTGCACATCCTACTACCTGATATTTGTCCAGATCTATTATCTGCTCTATAGAAGCCTGTAGCTGCTGCTCGGGCCAGACAACTAGCTGCTGCCACACACCACGCTGTCCTCCTGTCAGTACACATACACTTCAGATTTTCTCTAATGCACACTCAGCATTTCAACCCTGACAAACACCTCTTTTTTCCAGATTGAGAAAATGTGACTGTGTGCTTGTAAATTTCAAGCCTGGAAGATTCATTGACTGTAGAAATTCAAAACATTTAAAACAAGAGGTCATGTAATGAGAAATAATTTTATTTATAAAGTATTGTTCTATTTAAAAGTACTAAAAATACTATTTAAAAATGATTTCTCATGATATGACCCCTTCATTAAATGTTCTGCATTTCTACAAGCTGATTGGTATTATAAAATGATACACATAATATTATTTCAGATACTCCTTGTTCTATCATCTAAACATGTTATATCACATCATTTTATATTATATAAAAGCCTGTATATTAATTAACATGAATATGAACATGTATATAAATTAACATGAATATGAATGTGTATTTTCCTCTCTCATTTTTGTGAGTTTGACTGACATGAATTATCTTCTAAACAAAGAAAATGACATTTTTGATGTGAAAGAGATGAATAAAGCGCTGTATACTTTATAGAGCACGGATTCTAATTAACACTGTGCAGTATTACAATTTTGCATCTTTTTTTGTATTGTATGTAACTCATTGGCTATGACTTTAACTACAGTATATTCACAATATAGCGAAGTCCCATTTATTGCTTATTAGTATTTGTAGTTCATTATTTCATAGAAATTTAATTAAAACATTTTAAGCAACTTAATACATGCCGCCTTTGCACAGAAAGGCACAGTATAATTCCAAGCCAATATCATAGCCATCTGTTGTGTATTAAGAGATTTAGTATTTTAAATCTGTTATGTCTGAATGATGGTTTAAAATGTTTTCCTTTAGCTTCCCAACTTGAAAACTGCAATACTGTTATAGCTCACAGTAGAATAAAGTTAATACTGTGTAAACAGGTAAAACCTGTTTTCATGCGGTAATTGAACTCATTTTACCGCATCGTCTGATGTGTCTTGCCAATTTAGTGCTGAGATTTCGTTTTGCATGTTAATTCCTTAAGTCATTAATGTAGAAAATGAGTTTGTTTGGTTAATAAATGCAAAACCTAATTTCCGCGCAAACGGCCCTGATCATTTCAAAAGTACCTCGACAGGTCATGCCTCAGTAATGCTAAATTAAATAACGAGATCGGATGATTGTGGGATGAGCTGATATGTTGATAATTGGCTCAGATACTTTGTTCATATGCACGGTTTGCCATGCGGATTGTTAATATCATTTATATGTGTCTAAACTCTTATGTTTTAATGTGCTTTTGTGTTTGCAAACAGGCCGCGTTGTACTAGGAACTTTGTTTTTTTTTTTACTAAACACCACTGGCTATAGTGCTCGAGTTAATTGCTATTGATTCAGGCAGTGTGAAGGTCATCTATGCCGGCCTGGGGGCCTCAGAGAGCCAAAGTGGACCCCACAGCCATGGCCCTTAAATCACCTGAGAGTGCACTGAATGCTAGGGCTACGGTCCCTTAACAACACTCAAATATAATCACAACTGAGTTTACTCGCATTCTGGGGATTTTTTTTCTATATTTGTCAATACTATATTTCTCCCAGGCTTGACCGTAGTGAAACCCATGTGACATGGAGGCCTGGGTGATTAGTGTAAAACTTTATAACACAAACTACAGGTTCCCTCGGTAGCTTTCCTGTTTTAGCACAAACTGTTTTACATTTTTAGCATATATTGATTTGATACTGTAGTGTCTCTGATTAAGCCACAAAGAGCACATCGAGATGACATCCGTGAGGGTTTATCTTGCAATTACTCTTTCCAGCCTAATCTGGGTAATTATGTCAGTGATTTTACTCTTTCCTCAGGTTGTCTTTTCTTTTGATTGCCTTCGTTTCTCTCTCTGTCTCTCCGTTTCATTCTCTTTGGAGAGATGATGAGGGGGAGGAACCTTTGTAAAATGCACAATGATTGGGGTATAGCATTTCATGGCAAAATTCACAAGACAAAACACACAGAATTTAAAAAGATCTAGAGCCGTGCAATTTATTCATGCAGCTACAAATGTGTTTATCCATAAACAAAAATACAGACACATACATGTTTTATTTTGATTGCTTGTAGACAGAAAAAATGTTTAATGTGGCATTGAGATGTGAATTATGTTAGTATGCTTTTTATTTTTAATTACATATTTTGTTAACATTTTTTAAAATCTCAGATGTCTTTGACTGTTCCATGATATGTGTTTTTTTCAGGGTCTGGTATTCTTGAGTTAATTTTTAATATATTAAATTAAATCAACACAAACTCAGCAAGTATTGATAGTGTGCGGGATTGCATCTTTTTATAATATATCAAGTTAAAAATAGTTGTAAAATAAAAGTTTAATTTGTGGTTTGTTGATTTTTATTTTTTTAATATGTATTTTTTTGTGTGTGTGAACTGATTATTTTAATTAATCTCACAAAAACACGTTTATATTATTTAAATATAAAATAGAAAAAATATCTAAAAATTCAATTATATAAAGTGTTTAAAATTAATGATCATTTATTAAATTATTTATTTGTTATTTAAATATTATTTTATATAAAAAATAAACGGATAAAATGACAAATGTATTATTTATTTATTAATTATTAATGATTTTTTATTTATATTATGGCCTTTGTAGTGCACTCGTGCCGTCACTAATGCACAGATGAGTCCACACTCACATATACGTACATATCCACATGCTCAGACATCTTGCACTGAGGATTGAGGGTATGGGTCGACACTAAAGTCAGGTCTTAGGGGTAAATATGTCAGTTTAAGATTTCACAATAGTCTATCAAAACGTGCCGCCCCCGTGGTCCCGAGGCCTTATCTTCCCTCATCCCTTCCTCTCCAT